GAGTTAAAAACCAAGGGGAAGGCTACTGTTGAGGAGGTAAAGAAATCCACAGAAAGAGTTGATTTGGAAGTGAAGTGAGCATGGTTGGGTGTCCTTATGAAATGGTGACCCAGGCTTGGGACTCTCTTGTAGTTAATATTTGATCCTAGATGTAATAGAAAGCCACTCAAGTTTATTGAGTAGGGGGAGAGGAGACGTTTTAAGAAAATTACTTTGGCAGCTATGTGGAAAACGGATTGGGGAGAGGCTTAAAACAGGAAGAGCAATTCGGAGGTTATTATAACAGTCCAGGCAAGAGGTGATGAGGGCCTGAACCAGAGCGGAACTTTAGAACAGCTCTAAGGACTTGGAAAAGCTGAAAAGAAATTTCCCATTGGCTGTTAGGGGTATTTCTATAACCCAGGGAGAATAGAAGTTTTGAAAATACGACCTGTGATGGAAGTGAAAAAGAAAGAGATGATGTAGCTCAGAGATGAAACAGCTTATATGCCCCCTTCTCCATGAAGCCAACCCCAGTCAATTTAACTGGTGACTTTAGCTCTCTAGACATCTTCTGGAGTCTTCTCAAATTCAGAGGGACTTATAAATTCTTGCCTTTCCTTAGTGATCATTTCAGTCTTCAAAATGACAGAAATGACAGAGGAACTGCTCTTATAGTCCTGATTCTGACCAAAAACAAGGAGCTAGTTGCTGAAGTCAAAATGATGGAAACCTTGGGGGGAAAGAAGGCTATTCTATGTAGAATTCCTGATAAAGATAAGAAGGTCAGGCATAGTCTCACATGTACCTTATATTAAGGGAGAAAGGATTTCAAAGAATTCAGAAGAAGGAGAAGTAGGATCCTAGGCCCTTAAATTCTCCAGGGGCATTCAGTCTGAGAAAGATGGGAAACTCTCAGCAATAAAATTCATTATATTGTCACTGTCCTTCTGACAAGATATGTACTAACTGCTTTTGTGAGGGGATGTAAGTTACTAAAAATTCAGGTTGTTTGATTTCTTCCCTGGGAAGGGAGAAAGCTCTCAAGAGCTCCTCTCTCTCTTGAACAACACCTCCCTGGCTTTCACCCTCCTCCCCCCACCATCCCCAAGAAAACCCTAACTTTCTAGCGGAAAATTCCCTATTTCAGTCTGGCTCCTGAGATTGTTTCTTCTCTTCCCAAGTTGGGAAGAAATAAGACTCATTGGGCCTTTAGTTACTTAGGCTCCTTATAAGGCAGCCAGTTCAAGATTTGCCAGGATTCGTAGAACATAAAAACAGAAACATTTCCAGTAAGGAAGGAAAGGGGAGCTGTCAGAAAAGAACAATGCCATGGTCCTATAAGAATAAAATTAGAAATGTTTAAACATGATAATGAGCCAAGCCTGGACCATGAATGCTGAATACAATGCAAAACATTGTTTGTTTGTTTGTTTATTTTTTCATATGGTAGGAGAAGATCAAAGTAAGAAAATTCTGCTGCTTGGGGTGGATAGAACCAGAGAATATGGAACTAAATACCTGGACCAACCATACCTGGAAAGGTATCTTGAGTTTGGCAGAGGGATTGGGAAGGGTATTCAACATCCCTTGGGGAAAGACAATGTCTTCAGGATACCATGAGGATGCTGCCACAAAGAATTTCCAGTCTGCCCTTTCCCACCCCATCCCCACTGGCCCATGTAGTAGTTTACTATTTTAGGTAATTATTCTTGATAACTAGGTGCTAAGGTCACTTGTTTCTTCACACTTGGCATCCAAAAAAGCCTGATTTGGGGGATGGGGATAGAGTGGTAACCTAGAAAGATGCTTTTATTATAATTATTATTAATTTTTTTTTTGGTTAGTCAATGGGGTTAAGTGACTTGCCCAGGGTCACACAGCTAGGTTAGTAAGTGTTATGTGTCTGAGATCAGACTTGAACTCAGGTCTTCCTGAATCCAGGGCTGGTGCTCTATCCACTGTGCCACCTAGCTATCCCAAAAGATGCTTTTAGAAAAGGGGCTGAAAGAGATCTTGAAGCCAATTCTCATGCCCCACCCTTTGACCCCTCAAAATATTATGTCAGAGTTGGACTAGACTTTAGGCTTCATCTAGTCTAGGCCTTGATATATGCTTTGAGGTGGCTGGGCTTCCACCATCTTGGCTGGCTCAGAGGGGACAAATTGATATGATGAAGTGATTGACTTCACCATCTGGGCCTTCTTTCCACTCTTTTGTTTTCTGTTTTCAGTCAAATCCAACTCTTCATTTGGGGTTTTCTTGGCATAGGTACTAGAGTGGTTTGCCATTTCCTTCTCCAGCTCATTTGACAGATGAGAAGGCTGAGGCAAACTGGGTTCAGTGACTTGCCCAGGGTCACACAGCTAGTAAGTATCTGAGGGTGGATTTGAACTCAGGTCTTCCTGACTCCAGGCCTAGCTCTCTATCCACTGTGCCACCTAGCTACCCTTATCCCTTCCTATCTGGGGCAAATTTAGGTCCTGCCAGTCTTGTCTTCTTCTCAAGGAGATGATCAACTGCTTTCCAGTGGGAAACCTTCACTCACCTCCACTCTCATCATTCTGTCACCAGCCCTACCAGGTCATAGCTCCATCCTTGCTCCAACATCAGGCCCTGCTCTATCTCCTTCCTTAGATTAAGACAATCACTTGTTAGTGTCCTTTTAGGTTTCCTTCCTAGAGGCAGGTCCCCTCATTTGTGATTGATTGCCTGCTCTAGGACAAAGTCCCAAGTGTCCCATCCTAGTCATGTTTAGGGATAGAATACTGATACTAGACAATGGAAAGAAGGTTCTATTATTTTTCTTTGGTTTTCTGTTCCAACGAGAATGATCATTGAAGTGGGGGGAGAAAAGGAACAAATATGCTTGACAGAGAATTGGAGACATCACAAATATGCAGCTTCTTCCTTTTACAAATTTAAGACACAGGTTCTAAATTCAGTATATACCAGGGTTATTAAATTACTGGATGAATGTAATTAGTGAGCTACCATTAGTGATCTCTGGAGGACAATGGCAGTAAAAAAAAAAATGGAGAAAGATGGTGAAGAACTGGAGAGGTGTCACAGGACTGGTGAAGTACAGATATTCCAGTTTTAAAAGAGGGAAAAGAGTAGAGTTTGTAAATCATAGGCCAGTGAAATTAGCTTTAGTTGTTGGAGAAATCCTAGAAAGTATTAAAGGGATGGCTAATGAGGTTTTTTGAACAGCAACTGAACAAGTACAAAATACTTTGTGCATCTGCATTTACTCAGAATCATAGCTCACAAGAGTCCTTATTGATGTGTTTTTTTCCTAGTCATCCAGAAGAAAAGAATGAATGAAAAGCACTTATTAAGCACTTAGCTTACTAGACACTGTACTAAGTGCCAGGGATACAAATGCAGAAAGAGAGATAGTTCCTGCCTGCAAGGAGTTCACATTCTAATAGTGAAAGGCGACATAGATAGAGCAGTGATAGTCTTGAAGTCACAGGGATGGTAGTGGAGCCATGGGGCAGTTGATTGTTGGTGATGTTGAGATAAAGGAGGAAAAGATAGGGTGGGGGGAAGGAAGAGGGGTCAGTTTACTCGATACGTATAGGGCTCAATATGCTCTGATGTTAATCAGAAATGCTGGGTGAGAGCTGGCATTTCAGGGCCTACGTAGAAGACTCACTAGGGTGGAGCATGAGTGGCATGGCATGAAGATGGCGAGTCAGCAGTGTGTTGGGTCTGGGATGATCTTAATATGGAAACCTCTTACCAGTAAGGAAACCTGGACCCAGAGAGGGGGCTGGAGTGTTTGATCTGGGTCCAAAATAGAGGCAGAGAGTAGAGTTAGGTGCCACGGCATGAGATGACCAGGGAGGACACAATTATTTCAGAACAAAGACATTAATGAAATAGCAGAGAAAGAAGAGTAGCAATAAAACATTTCTACATTTAAGCCAGGGGTATACTCTCCCATAAGTGTACATATCATCTTCAGGGAGGATGGACACATAGGGAATGTGCTGAGAGGCAAACATATGAAGGGGCAGCTCATACCTCCAATGCTGCAGGGACACTGATGTCCTTATTTTTTTAGTTTCTTTTGAAAAATTATGGGCTTGACAAAATCAACAGATATGAGCACTTTCATATACAAAGAGTACAGAAAAAGAATTGCATATGAAGCAGTAAGTCTTTATTACATACAGCTTGTTTTTTGAGTGTGTATTTAAACTTATCTAACACTGGAACCAGAGAAATGAAATTCTCATCTCAACTCTGCCACATATATCCTGTGTGACCTTAGGACAATCCCTTAACCATTCTGGGCCTCAGTTTTCTCACTTGTAAAAGGAGGGGGTTGGAGGTGATTACCTCTCAGGTCATATGCACTTGGTAAATACAGGACAAATGAATGAATGAGAGAAGGCTGGCGATGGGATGGGTGGAAATTGAATAAGGTTTCTCAAATCCCTGAAGAGCATATTTGCATATGAACTCCTACCTATTTCTACTAACAGCAGAATACAAAAACCTTCTGGATAATAATAGTACATGTATGTGTATTAATAAAACACTTTACATATATGCTCTCATTTGATTCTTAAAATAACCTGGCAAAGATACTTGTGGGAGGATTATTGCCCCCATTGATAGATGAAGAAATAGAGGCCAAAAGAGGTTCAGTGATTTGCCCAAGGTCTCCTCTAAGTGGTGAAGCTGGTCCTCAAATCTAGGTCTTCTGGCTCCTGGTCCAGTTTTGTTCCTCTGCACCACATGGTGGGGGCACATGTTTTATGACAGTTGCTGGCTGTAGGTGAATTCTCTGTCTGGTTCTAGTGTTGGCCTGTACTGCCCCTTGGCGAGGAGAGCTTCTCCTTCTGCACCCTTTTCCTAAAGTGGGGCTTGTTTAGGACAGTGCTGTCCTAAAACAGAGGGATGAACTAGATGACCAGTCCTTCTGACTGAGGGAGTCTGAGATGCTGTGATCTGCTCTAGGTAAGTAAATAGTGTTGATCCCTGTTCTCTATTTCCTGTCCTCCCAGGTGCTTGGACCTCTGGAGCTCAGAGTTCTGGAATTCAGACTTCTCTGCATGGGATCAAGGGAGGTTCCATCCTATTTCACTTGAATATAAGCTCAGGAGAAGAGATCAAAATGATCACATGGAGTTTTGAATCTAATAAAAGTCATCACATTCTGTTCCATTTCAAGCCTGAGGATGAGTCTCTAACATGGGAGAATCCTGAGAACAGATATGAGCAGAGAGTTCATGTGACATCCAATACGGCATCCTTGAGTATTGGGAATCTCACCTTTGAGGATCACGGGTGCTATAGAGCTCGAATCCAATATTCTACAGCAGAACTCTATGATCAAAGCTTCTTTCTCTCTGTTGATGGTAAGTGAGGGTAATATACTGAGAACCCCAAGACCAGCCCCTGAGACAGCCCAGGCTCCACTTGAGAAAGTTTATGCCTCCTCTTGTCACATAGCCCTTTTCCCTAGGAGCTACCAAACTCAGTCTCATCTCTTCTTCCAGTTTCTTTGACAGGGATAGGAAGGAGGGTTTCTTTCCCCACTATTTGAAGGAAACATGTATGTGTGTCAAGGCCCCTGGAATTTGTGCTCCCTGTCTCTAGAATCTAAAGAAGGCCAGAATGAATTTGAATGGAAATAGAAATACCAGATGGAGTTCTATTGATCTTCAAGTATTTGTGTAAGTATCCCTATGAGGCAGCTAGGTGGATCTGATCGATTTCCCGTCTCTGATATCGGAGGAAGGGAGACCCTGGAGATTGGCTGGCAAGAGTCTGGCTTTTTGAAATTTCAAAATATGGAAGATTCCAGAAAAAGATAGGCTCTAGGGGATATCAAGGGCAGAGGCAGCCTGGTGTAATTGAACCTAAGCCCTCCAAAGCAGAGATGTGTTTTGAATGATCACATTCATTCAGGGAACCTGATAGAATGTTCACAGTCCATGTGATGTTATAACATCTGATCATCTGCTTGAACTCTTTTTCTATTGCAAATACCCGATGTGATGTCAGTTTTTTTCTGTGGCTGTGGCTGTGACCTGGATGTTGGCAGTGCAGTTGTAATACCAGTACCGTCTTAGTTCACGTTTGATGTCAATAGTCAATAAACATTTATTAAGCACCTACTATGTGCCAGGCACTGTGCTAAGTAAGCACTGGGGATACCAATAAGAAAAAGAAAGACAACCCCAGCTCTCAAAGAGCTTACAATGGAAATAATACACAAAAGGAAGCTGAAAGGGAGGGTGATGGAGGTCTTCCAGGTAGATACCTGCCAGGGGGTACATGTGTGTGGAGTCCAAACCAAGTAGAGCAACTGATGGAAAATTAAATTAGCTAGAAAATTCTGAGCCCTCTGTAAAGTGAAGTTTAGGGAGGAGTTTATTGCTCTATCCTCTAATCAGAGGGAGAGAGACAACTGAGGATGCTGACTATTAAAGGTGAATCAGTCTCCATGATGATAAGATTTCAGGTGATGAGCTCTTCCTGGGGAAGGCTTGATGTTCATGGAATTAAAACCAAGTGGAGTAGTTGATGGGAAATGCATGATGATGTTGGGCTGATATGAGGTACTTACAAGTCATTTAACATTTAATAAAGGAGATTTATTTTGTCAATAACAAAATAAACAGCAAGAATTGCTGTCAATAACAGCAAGAATATGCAATAAGGATATAGTAGCACTTAACTTCTCTGAATGTGGCCTCCCTCATCTCCATTTGGAAATGCATCTGGTCAGTAGGTCATCACAATATGGTAACTTGTGTGGTCTCAGTCTAAGTCTAAGTTTAAGAAGCCCTCACTGCATGTGGCTGAGACCTTTTATGTCCCCAGACCAGGAAGCTGCATCTGGAAAACATAGGTTCTATCACATACCCCTGGGTGGCAAGGTCTTTAGAATGTTCCACAGGAACTTCCATCATTTACATGATGGTATAGTCCTCTTGTCAGAGGTAGTACTAAGGCAGGGTGAATAAGGGAAAAGAAAAAACAAAAACAAAAAACCATGGAGAACAAAACCCAGAAATTCTAGGCCTTTCTTCTCCCTTTTCAGAAAGACCAAGTCTTAAGTCTTTTACTAGAGAGTCCTCTTAATATGAACAGTATTAAGGGAAAAAAGGAAAAAAACAAAAACAAACAGGCAAGACAAAAACAAAAACAAAGCAAAAAATGTGGAGGAACCCAAAAACCAGAAATTCTAAACCTTTTTTCCTCTTCTAGAAAGACCAAGTCTCAAAGGCTCACAGTCTTTTTATTTTTTAATTTAACAGTATTTTATTTTCTTCTGGTTACCTGTAAAGACAATTTTCAACATTCGTTTTTTGAAGATTTTGAGTTCCAAATTTTCTCCCTTCTTCTTCCCCTTTCTCTCCCTAAGATGGCAAGCAATCTGATATAGGTTATACATGTGCAATCATGTAAAGCATATTTCCATATTAGTCATGCTGTGAAAGATGAAACTGAACAAAAGGAAAAAAAACAATAAAAAAGTGAAGATAGCATGCTTCAATCTGCATTCAGACTCTATCAGTTCTTTCTCTGGATGGGGATAGCATTTTCCATCACGAGTTTTTTGGAATTTTCTTGAATCGTTGTATCACTGAGAATAGCTAAGTCAATCATAGTTGATCATCACACAATACTACTGTTACTGTTCACAATGTTCTGGTTCTGCTCACTTCACTCAATTGATGCCACATCTTTGAGGTTTACAGTGGGCCTCCTAATGCAAAGTGATGATGATGAATCAGAGTAGCACCAAGAGCGTTAGAGTCCCAGCACAGATGAGGACACCTCCAGTATAGTAACTTATTTCTTCTCCTAATGTGAGGTGGTGATGATAAGAAAAATCCATTATACCAAGGTCCTGTCACTAGGGATCTGTGAAGTGTAGCAAGTTCATGAAAGAAGTAGCCTTTTACCTGTAGGATAGGGCTTAGAAATTATTCTAATGGACAATATTCACATTATCTATACCTCTTAGACCAACTAGTAAGAGTGGACACACAGAGACTGATAGAGATCTTGTAACTATCATGAGTACTTTCACCTCATGAGGTGAAACATAAAATCACCAGGGTGAGCATGAGACTGATGATCCCATTCCATCCCATCTCCTCCAGCAGACTGACCCCTCTGTTATCTCCACTATCACTTATTTTCAATCTCTCCCTTCCACTTGCTGCTTTCTTGCTGCCTACATTCATGTCCATGTCTCCTACATTCTCAAAAACCTCTCACTTGATCCTTCCATCCCTGCTATTATCCCAAATCTCTTCTGCCCTTTGTATCTAAACTCCTTGAGAAGGTCATCTATCATAAGTTCCTCCACTTTCTTTCCTCTCCCTCTCTACTTAATCTTTTACAATTTGGCTTCCAACCTCATCATTCAACTGAAACTACTCTCTCAAAAGCTGCCAGTGATCTCTTAATGGTCAAATCCAATGGCTTTTTCTCAGTCCTCATTCTCCTCAACCTCTCTGTAGCCCTCTAAGCCATAGGGTTTCTAGTTCTTTTCTACTAGACTGGCTTCATGGCTGTATATGTGGTGTGTGTGTGTGTGTGTGTGTGTGTGTGGTAGGGTTGAATAACTGTATCATAGTTTCATAGAATTTAGAGCTGAAAGGGCCCTTAGAATTTATCTAGTTCAGAGTTTTCCAAATTATGGGGCATACCCCTCTGGGGTATGGGAGTCCTTGGAAATGGGAGTAGGGTCAGAGAATGAAGCAATGGACAAAATTAATATATTTTTGAGTACAACTCCCCTGGTCTTTAAGGTTTTTGTTTGTTTGTTTGTTTGTTTTTTTGTGAGGCATTTGGGGTTAAATGCCCAGGGTCATACAGCTAGTAAGGTCTTTACTTTTTTGAAGTGATACCATTGAAGAGGAAATCATATTGAAGAGGAAAACACTTATTTGGCACCATGGGCAGAAAGGAGCAATGGATAGAAGTTGCAAATGGACAAGTTTATTTTTTTTTACACTTAATAGTATTTTATTTTTTTTCCGGTTACATGTAAAGATAGTTTTCAACATTCATTTTTGTAAGATTTTGAGTTCCAAATTTTTCTCCCTCCTTCTTTTCCCTCCCTCCTCCCCAAGAGAGCAAGCAATCTGATATAGGTTATACATGTACAATCATGTTAAACACATTTCCACATTAGTCATGTTGTGAAAGAAGAATCAGAACAAAAGCGAAAAATCATGAGAAAGAAAAAACAAAGAAACAAACAAAAAGTGAAAATAGTATGCTTTGATCTGCATTCAGACTCCATAGTTCTTTCTCTGGATATGGATAGCATTTTCCATCATGAGTCTTTTGGATTTGTCTTGGATCATTGTATTGCTGAGAAGAGCTAAGTCTATCATAGTAGATCGTCTCACAATGTTGCTCTTACTGTGTATGATGTTCTTCTGGTTCTGCTCACTTCAATCAGCATCAGTTCATGGAAGTCTTTCCAGGTTTTTCTGAAATCTATCTGTTCATCATTTCTCATAGAACAATAGTATTCCATTACATTCACATACCACAACTTGTTCAACCATTCCCCAATTGATGGGAATCCCCACAATCTCCAATTCTTGGCCTCCACAAAAAGAGCTACTATAAATATTTTTGTAGATGTGGGTCCTTTTCCCATTTTCATGATCTCTTTGGGATATAGACCTAGTAGTGTCATTGCTGGATCAAAAGGTATGCACAGTTTTATAACCCTTTGGGCATAGTTCCAAATTATTCTCCAGAATGGTTGGATCAGTTCACAATTCCACCAACAATGCATTACTGTTCCAATTTTCCTACATCTTCTCCAACATTTGTCATTTTCCTTTTCTGTCATATTAGCCAATCTAATAGGTATGATGTGGTACCTCAGAGTTGTTTTAATTTGCATTTCTCTAATCAATAGTGATTTGCAGCATTTTTTCCCCTTTGATTTCTTTATCTGAAAACTGCTTGTTCATATCCTTTCATCATTTATCAATTGGGGAATGACTTGTATTCTTATAAATTTGATTCAGTTCTCTATATAGTTGAGAAATGAGGCTTTTATCAGAAACACTGGCTGTAAAAATTGTTTCCCAGCTTTTTGCTTTCCTTCTAATCTTGGTTGCATTGGTTTTGTTTGTGCAAAAGCTTTTTAATGTAATCAAAATTATCCATTTTGCATTTCATAATGTTCTCTCTTGTTTGGTCATCAATTCTTCCACTCTCCATAGATTTGACAAGTAAACTATTCCTTGCCCTCCTAATTTGCTTATGGTATCAGCCTTTATGTCTAAATCATGTACCTATTTTGACCCTATCTGGGTATAGAATGTGAGTTGTTGGTCTACTCCTAGTTTCTGCCATACTCTTTTCCAGTTTTCTCAGCGGTTTTTGTCAAATAGTGAGTTTTTATCCCAGAAGCTAGAACCTTTGGGTTTATCAAACAGTAGATTACTGTAGTCATTTACTACTATGTCTTGTGTACTTAACCTATTCCACTGACCTATCACTCTATTTCTTAGCCAGTACCAAATAGTTTTGATGATTGCCACTTTACAATATAGTTTTAAATCTGGTACAACTAGGCCACCTTCCTTTGCATTTTTTTCATTAATTCCCTTGATATTTTTGACTTTTTTTTCTTCAAATGGACAAATTTAAACTTGTAGCATGCGGGACAGCTGAGTGGTGCAGTAGATAGAGCACTGGGCCTAGAGTTAGGAAGACTCAACTTAAACAGTTCAAATCCAGTCTCAGACACTTAGTAGCTATGTGACCCTGGGCAAGTCACTTAACCCTGCTTGCCTCAGTTTCCTCATCTGTAAAATGAGCTAGAGAAGGAAACGGCAAACCACTCCAGTGTCTTTGCCAAGAAAACCCCAAATGGGGTCATGAAGAATTGGACACAACTGAAAATTGACTGAACAACAATAAAACTTGAAGCAGGAAATAAACTTTCTAATAATTAGAATCATCCAAAAGTAGGAATAGGCTGTGTTAGGAGGCATTTCTTTCCCCCTCACTGGAGTTCTTCGAGAAAAAACTTCAAGAAGATGACCTCTTATCAGGTATGTTGTAGAACAGGGCTTCTTAAACTTTTTCCACTTGAGACCCCTTTCATGTTTTGGTAGGTGATTGGCCTTGTGTGCTCTGAGGGCATGTGCAGTGCCAAGTGCGAATGTTTTGTGTTCAGAACCAAGGCTCCAGTGAAGTTGGACAATGCGACATGGGCAAGTGCTGCCAGGAACACCTCACATTCATTACACGTTTGATTTTTAATTAGCATTTGGTTGTTGTGCATTCAGAAATCTTTTACTGTTGCCAAATTTTTCTTGACCTCATATGGGATTGCAACCCACAGCTTAAGAAATGCTGTGAATTTTAAGGGGCAGCTAGGTGGCACAGTGGATAGGAACCGGCCCTGGAGTCAGGAGGACCTGAGTTCAAATGCAGCCTCAGACCAAACACTTGACACTTACTAGCTGTGTGACCCTGGGCAAGTCACTTAACCCCATTGCCTAGCAAAAACAAAACAAAAAAAAAAGAAATGCTGTGTAGAGGAAATTTTTGAAGAGAAACTAGTACCACTAGTTGATCTCTGAGGTTCTTTCCTCAGAACTAAGGGGTGCCATGGATAGAGAACCAGAATTGGAGTTAGGAAGACTTGAGATCAAATATGGCCCCAGACATTTAGTATCTGGGTGACTCTAGGCAAGTCACTTAACTGCCACCTGACTCAGTTTCCTTAACTGTAAAATGGAGATAATAATTATAAGTTGTAAAATGCTTAGCACAGTGCCTAGCACATAGCAGGCACTTAGTAAATGCTTTTCCCCCTTTTCCTTGTGCCTGTAAAAGAGTTTCCAAACTGCCCTTGAGGAACACCACCAAGCAGGCAAGGGAATAGAGGCCATCTTGCCTCCGATTCCCTTGGTCCACCTATGCTTTAGTCTTCCATGGCTTCTGTTTCCATCTTTAAAAAATGAGGAGAAAGTGTTTTGGTATCATTTGATCGGACACTTGTAGGACCTTGTCTAGGAGCTTCTCTGATTCTTGTGTAGCTTTTATAAAGCTCTGAAGATTCGCATTCCAACTCTCACTCACACTGGTGAGTTGAGAGCCATTGCAAGGCACTACATGTCCTCAGGGTTCTAGAGGGTTCCCTGAGACACTGGGGGTGGGGTATAAATTCTTTTCTAATGCTATTGGTTCAAGCTCCCATTCCAGTGTTTTCCCAAAGGATAACAGCCAATAAGTAGCTTCTCAGTATCATTTAACCAATTTTCATCAGTTAGCCTTTACAAAGAGTTATTTTCTGAGGTGTAAGAAGAGATGGATAAATATTTCCTACCTCCTCCTCCCCCCAAAAAACCCCAGGGGGTACACTCTTTCTTAGACTTCTGAAGTTTTGGGGGAGAGTGGGCTCAGGCCTAGAGTCACTTCTGTGAACATTCACTGCACCAAATTCATTTCTACATTCATCATAAGCAATGGAGCAGTTAGTGTCTTAGGCACCCCTCGGCTTGGCTCTCATTCCTTGGAGTTTTGCTTGCTACCAGGCAGCAAACTCTGGCCTAGACTCCTGTCACTAGAGTTGGGATGGCTCACTCTCCCAACCTTCAGAAGATCACAAGGTCATAGTCATCTCCAATCGTCCTTCACCTAAAATCAGGAAAGAAGAACTGCAGTGAAGAAAAGAACAGAGGCCCATGTTCACAGGCCACATGGCACACCTAGTGAGGAGGCTATGGGGCCTCTTCCCATACAGAATCTCATGGTATGTCTTCCTTACTTGAATCAGCCAGGCAGGAAAAAAAGGCTGGACGTGTTTGACTTTCCAATGCACACCCAGTTCTGGCTCAACAGCAAGTTAAAAGTCCATCTCTTCACCGTGAGGATTATGCAGGCCAAACAAGCTGCCCATGGTTGTGAAGGTTGGCTTTGGCCAGTCCACTATTATATTTGAATCTTAATCTCTCTTTTGTTCTCAGAGCCCATCTTCCCCGAGATCAAGGTACTCTCAAATTTCCTGACGTCAGATTGGTGCAACCTCACCTTAGCATGCTCAGTCCTAGGGGCCACTAAGGAGGTGATAGTGACCTGGGAAAGTGGAGATATCCCTAACATACTATCACAGGAGGAGAGACTAGGGTTGCTCTTTAACTCTAGTATACTGAATCTGTCCCTGCCACGGAGTGTCCAGAATTCCTCTCTCACCTGCATAGCCAAGAACCCTGCAGAGCAGAAAAACTCCACATTATACCTTCGTGATGCCTGTAAGAATTCAAGTGAGTATGGCCTTCTTGGGATGGGGGGTGGGGGGAGGGAAGGATGTAGGGTGGAGCTGGTGGTGTGGATGGAATCAAGGAAGAAGAGGATAGCCATACAAGTTGGGGGGACCTTGGGGAAAGGGGCAGAGGGCTGGTAAATTTCTCTCGCCTCCAATTAGGTATTTCTATTGAAAGTACCGCTATTTGAGTTCAAATCCGGCCTCAGACACGTGATACTTACTAGCTGTGTGACACTAGGCAAGTCACTTAACCCCATTGCCTCACAGAAGAAAAAAAAAAGTACCTCTATGCTCTCAGGCAGTCAGATACTTAATTTTTGTTGAACTGAAATAAATTAGGCCCAAATGTTGCTTCCCTGCCCTCCCCTCTATTGGCTACTTATCACCATTCTGGCAGTCAAGTCTGCATCTCTTTCCCCCTTAAATTGGAATCTCTCCCATTTCCTTCCTGTTCTTACCTCTCCTGTTCTCTAATGGTTGGCTCATGTCAGATCTCTCAAAGCAGCATTGGCAGATTGGAATTTTCCTTCTGCTCATATTGTTGGGGATCCTGGGGATTGGACTGTGGATCTACAGAAGAAAAGAAAAGAAGAATGAAGGTATTGGTTGAAGGCAAGGATCTCCTCCTTTCCCTTCTTAATTAGGGGCCCCTCCCCTGCTAGTTTGGGACTAGAGTGGGGCCTAAAGAGTGTGTGGCATTTACTCTAAAAGTGTATGTGTGGTGGACATGTCAGGCAGCTAGAGGAAGTTGAGTCAAAGCCTCACCAGAAGCAGGGAGCCCTAGGTCTCTGCTGGGGCTAGGGAGGGGGAATTAGGATGCTACCTCTCAGAGTGTGGGCAGAATCAAACCTCTGTCTTCTCTATTTATTCATTCAGTTATGGAGTCTTCAAAAAATCAGAGAAATAGTGACAACAGCATCCAATATGCAGTGCTGAACCCAGACAGGCGTCCTGAAGTCCAGAACCAGGTGACTGAGGGTTTGGAACTTTCTAACAGCTTTCTGAAGCCCTTCCTTCCTTTGGTTCTTTGCTCCCACAGACATCACACCTCCCGTCCCTTTTGCCCTCTTCTACTTATGACACAAAAGTAAGTCAGGATACTGTAGTGGAAAGAGTGCTGGCCTGGGAGCCAGGAGACTTCAGTTCAATTCTAGCTGTATGATTCTGGGGCAAGTCATTGTGCCCCTCTTTGGGCCCAAATTTTTCCCAAAGTCAGTCACATTCTTTTTTTTTTTAGGCAATTGGGGTAGTCAGTCACATCCTATGACTGTCCTATGTTCTCTGATATAGAAGGCTCTATGCTAGGTGCTGTAGGGACACAAAATAAATATAAACCACTGTGTGTTTCTCCAGTCCTTGCTAGAGACCTGGCTCTGTGTGCCTCCCCAAATCTCCAATTTGATTCCCCCACTACCACCCAAGTCCCAAGATCTCTCTTATCTTCTAGTGTCAGGAAGCTTGTGAGCAGCAGCCACCAGAGAGGGAGCTCCCCACTACCATTTACAGTGAGATCAAGAGGACACGCTAACAATGCTCAGGTAAGGAAGCTAAAGTTGGGGAGATTCTAGACATTAAAGCTGGCATAGGATATAAAAAGGGAGCTCAGGGCCCCCAGCATGCAAGCCTATAACCCCTCTCCCAACATGTCAATGTATTTGAAAGTATTTCCCTTACCTGTCTGGCTTCCTAAGATCTTCTTATTCACATGTAACAACCCCTGACAAGGGGTGGGTCAGCCGCAAAACATCTCTGGTATTTGCAATTCTTCTTAGTTTAGGAAGAAAGGAAACTAACTTGAGATCAACCCTTGCGGGAGTAGGGCATGGAATTTTTCAGGCATGGTTACAGTGGGAGTTTGGGGGGGGGGTGCTCTTGAAGAGAATGAGGAAGGACAAAGGGAGAAACAGAGGTTGTCCCACACAGTGGTGTGAACTGGGCAGCAGCTACTGCCGGACACATCTGTAGTTCCTTTCTTTAAGACCATGAAAGGTGACCTTCATTTAAATAGTTAATCTAGGAGGTGTCTGTGTGCTTTATTGAGGGTGGTTGTTCTAGTAGCAGGATCACAGAGAGAAACAAGCTAGCTAAGAGAGGAACAATAGAATGTCCTACCCTGCTCCAGTCTTACTTCCTTTTAGGTTTTTCTTAAATTTATCCTGTTAAAGAATACATTTGCCAGATTTAATATTATTTGTCATAAGCATTTATGGTCGACACAGTCTTTATATTTCTGGGTTTCCCTTTGTTTATGATTTGAGTGTTCAATGGGAGCCATTAGGAGAGAGGAATCTTTCCTAGCATAGGGCTAGGAGTGCAACCCTCAGCCTATTGCCAGTGAGTTTTGTGCTCTAACTGGAGGTATAACACGAGCCATTTTGTAACTACAGAGTACAGAATCACTGTGAGTTCAGACCCTATTGCATAAGTGTATCTTGTAAATGTATCATAGATGTGAATCAATTTGCACACATAAAGGTGTGTGTGTGTGTGTGTGTGTGTGTGTGTGCAGTGCTAGTACTCTTGCCCATGTAACTTTGTATGTCCATCTTGGTCTGTCTAGAGGTGGCTTGCAGAGAGGCAAGAATAGATATCTTCATTATCTCCTCCCCTCCCCTTTCTCTAAGGTATGATTCCTGCCAGGAAAGGAAGCAGGAGGTTGGGATTAAACGTTGGCTACTCTGCCCTCCTCAGAGAGTGGATTACTGGGCTAGAAAGATATTTATTTGCTCCATTAAATATAACTCATCTAGAGGAAGAAGTTTTTAGGTTTAAGATAAATTCCTGATTGTTATTCCTTAATGAAGAAAGAGTACCCCAAGCTCTATATACAACGCTTGACCTCCTTACCCCCACATGCCAGTTCCACAATGAATTCACATAGCAAATAGCAAAGAAACCCATTTATCCAAGTCGAGACCAAACAAAAATCAGAGAAAGGAGGACATAGGAAGTATAGGAGGATATATACCAGACAGAAAGAATGAGCTCTTCCGTTGGAAGAAAGATAACTCAGCTCAACCAAGAGAGGCTCTCAGATCTCACCCAAGAGGAAATTTCCCCAATTTGCCTCAGTTTCCTCATCTGTAAAATGAGCTGGAGAAGGAAATGGCAAATCATTCCAATATCTCTGCCAAGAAAACCTCAAACTGGGTCATGAAGAGTCAGACACAACTGAAAATTTTGTTAGCAAAATGCTATCTTTGCTTGTATATGCCTCTTATCTCTTTCCAGGCTGCATATATGAGCAAAGATGTATATACAAAATATATATGTATGTATGTGTGTATGTATACATACATATATATGTGTGTATATGTATACATATATATGTATGTATGCAGGTGGGAAGGAGGACTGTATAGGGGCATATGTACCCCTAAATGCTAAATGCCAAGTCAAATTAAGTAAATAAACAGTTATTAAGCAATTAATATGTGCCAGGCACTATGCTAAGAATTAGGGATACAAAAATAGGCAAAAACAGTCCATGAACTTGAGGAGCTCACGTTCTAATGGGGAATATAACATGCAAACAACGAGGTACATAAAACGAATGTATGTATTTACAGGGTAAATTGGAGGTTATCTTAGAGGGGAGGCACTGAAATTTCACTTGCAACCTGAGGTCAGGGGAAGAATATTTCAGGCATGGGAGACATCTAGTGAAAAGCCATGGGGTCACCATGGAGTGTCTTGTGGGAAGAGTAGCAAGGAGGTCAATGTAATTGCATCACAGAATATGTGGAGGGAGTAAAATGTAATAAAACTGGATCTAGGAAGGCATCAGGTTATGAAGGACTTTAAAAACCAAACAGGATTTTAGATTTGATCTTGAATGTAACAGGGAGTCATTGGAGTTTATTGAGCAGAGGTGACATGGTCAAGCCTACACTTTAGGAAGATCACTTTGAGGGGGAAATGAAAGATAGACTGGAGTAGGGAGAGACTTGAGGCAGGGAGACAAGGAACAAGCTATTTCAATAGTCCATTAGTGGGGTGATGATAGGCTGCATTAGGTGGATGATGGTGTTAGAGGAGAGTAGGGGACGTGTATGAGAGATGTTGTGATGGGACAACTGATAGGACTTGGCAACAGATTGGATATGGCAGGGTGGGCAATGGGAGAGATTGAGGAGTCAAGGATGACACCAAGGTTGTGAGTCTGGGTGATGGGGAGAATGATGGTACCCTTGACAATAATAGGAAAGTATGGAAGGTGGTGGGTTGGGGGGAAATATGAGTTCAGTTCTGGCATGTTGAGTTTAAGATGTCTATAGGAAATTCAGTTTGAGATGTCCTGTAGGCAGTGAAAGAAGTGAGATTAAAATTCAGAAGAGAGGTAAGGGCTGGAAAAATAGATCCAAGAATTACCTGCATAGATTAGATTAGAAAAAATATTTAACAAGTTCTTACTTTGTGCCAAGCGCTGTAATATAGTGAGGATGCAGAAGTGCTGGAGCTATGAAAACAAGAAAACAAGATGGTCCCTACTATCAAGGAACTTACGTTTTAATGGGTGAAGATAACACATAAAGGGAAGGTAAAAAGCAGGTAGGGAGGGGGATCTTTATGGGACAAAATAACCATTGTGGAGCTGGAGCAGACAGGATAGTGAGCTGAGAGGGAAGCATGCAGAAGTGAGCATCAGTCGTTTAGTTGCATCCGACTCTTCATGACCCCATTTGGGGTTTTCTTGGCAAAGATACTGGAGTGGTTTGCCATTTCTTTCTTTAGCTCATTTTACAGGTGAGGAACTGAGTCAAACAGAGTTAAGTGACTTGCCCAGGGTCACACATTTATTAAGTGTCTGAGGCCAGATTTGAACTCGGTAAGAGGAATTTTCTTGATTGCAGGCTCAGTACTCTATCCACTGTACCACATAACTGCCCAGAAGTGAACAGAAATGATAATTGAATACATGGGAGCTGATGAGATCACCAACTGAAGTGTAGAGAGAGGGAGAAGAGAAAAGTTTTGTAGGACAGTCATGTTAGTGGTAGTGACATGGATGAAGATTTATCAAAGGAGACTGAGGAGTGGTCAGATAGGTAGGAGGATCAGGAGAAAGCAGTGCTAAGAAAATGGAGAGGAGATAGAATCAAGGATAAGAAAGTGATGGACAATGTCAGAGGACTCAGGGAGGTCAGGAAGAATGAGGATTGAGAAAAGACCATTAGATGTGGTAATTGAGATCACAATAATTTTGGGGAGAGCAATTTCAGTTGAATGATGAAGTGGGAAGTCAAACTTCCAAGAGTTTAGAAGAGAGTGAGAGGAAAGGAAGTAAAGGCATTTATTTTACATGGTCTTCTCAAGGAGTTTAGCCATAAGACAGGAGAGATATAGGGCAATAACAACCAAGGATGAATGGATCAACTGAAGGTTTTTCAAACTACATTGTACTTAACTACTTTGTATATGTTTATGTTTATTAACTTTGTATTTATGTTGTATATAATTTTATGTGTATATGTAATCTCCCCCATTAGAATGTAAGCTCATTAGGAGTAAAGGTTGTTTAATTCTTTGTACATGTACTTTGTACTCAGTGCCTAGCATAATGCTTGGCAAATAATAGCTGTTTAAGAAATAAGTACTGATTGAGTGATAATATGTTGAAATGAGTATTTGAACCTGAAAATTTCATTGTATCTTGGCTATAGGTGAATTAAGTTGGCCATATTGATTATACTCCTTTACTAATCTCCTGGCTCTGTTCCTGCCTCTCTGGACTTCTCTACTATGCCAAGCAGTCTTCTCCCTCTGGAAGACTCCTTCACCCTCACCCTGGAAGATCCCTCTACCTAATGGACCCCTCTTTCACTTGGGGAATTCCTTCTTGGAACCTCCATTTAAGAAAGTGCCCAAGGCAGCCATCATTACTCCTTTACTTCTCACAAGGCTCTAGAAGCTCTTGATTCTTACAACTTATCCACTCCCCCACAATATTTCCTTTTCAGCTCTCTTTTATTTTTTCCCCACTTAATAGTATTTCTTTTCAATTACTTGTAAAGATAACTTTCAACATTCACTTTTATAAGATTTTGAGTTCCAAATTTTCTCCCTCTCTCCCTCCCTTCCCCATCCAAGAAAGCAAGCAATTTGATATAGATTATACATGCACATTATTTTACAAATTTACATTATTATACATGTACTTTATTATGTTACAAATATTAATCATATTTCTACATTAGTCATATTGTAAAAGTAGAATTGGAACAAAAGGAATAAAACCATGAGAAAGAAAAAATAAAAAACCAAAAATGAAAATACTATGCTTTGATCTGCATTCAGACTCCATAGTTCTTTCTCTGGATGTGGATAGCATTTTCCATCATGAGTCTTTGGAATTGTATTGGTTCATTGTATTACTAAGAAGACCTAAGTCTATCACAGTAGGTCATTGTACGGTGTGGGTGTTACTGTGTACAATGTTCTCTTGGTTCTGCTCACTTCACTCAGCATCAGTTAATGTAAATCTTTCCAGGTTTTTCTGAAATCCACCTGCTCATCATTTCTTACAGCACAATAGTATTCCATTACATTTATATACCACAACTTGTTCAGCCATTCCCCAATTGATGGGCATCTCTCACCTTTCTTCTATGTTATCTTCCCTTCTTAGAATGTAAATTCCTTGAGAATAGGGACTGTTCTTCTTCTTTCTTTGTATTTATGTTTTCAGTGCTTAGCACCATGCATGTTGCTAGTAAATGTTCAATAAATGCTCTGTTTGGTATAAATATTACTATTATTAGTATTACATTTGTGTTAAATGGGGTTTTCTGCTGCAGCTATTCAGAGATAAAACATTAATCTTGACTAGTGGTTGAAAAATAACTACAAATAGCAATAACATAAATGATGTTACATTTTGAGAAACTTTGTGACAAAAACAAGCCTGCCCATCGCAGTAATATTATTGTAGAACTTTAGAATCATCTAGAGGCAGCTAGGTGGCGCTATAGTGCACAGAGTACTGCACCTGGAGACGAGGACTCATCTTCGTGGATTCAAAATCGGCCTGAGACACCTGTTGTGTGACCCTGGGCAAGTCACTTACCCCTATTGGCTTCAGTTTCCTCATCTGTAAAATGAGCTGGAGAAGGAAATGGCAAACCACTCCAGTATTTCTGCCAAGAAAATCCTGAATCGGGACATGAAGAGCCAGACACAACTGAGAAATGACTGAAGGACAAAAAGAGTCAGAAAGACCTGGATTTAAGGTCTGTCTCTAATCCACATCAGCTGTGTAAATCTGGTCAAGTCATTTAAACTCTCAATGCCCTAACCAACTGTCTAAGACTAAGTTGCACAGATGTTGTCAGTCTGCATTAGTAAAGGGAGTTTCTTTATTCATGAGTTTCTTGAACCAATTAAATTTAAGTCCAGTCCCTATTCCTACCCTTTGTTATTATTTTTAAAATAAATAATGCATATGAAAATAATAAATGATTCCAAGAACACCCATATCTGTGTTATTATATTATTGATTTGCTTGTAATTCATTATAAAATTATAATGAATTACTAATTTTATTTGAATAAAGCATGAACTGAGATTATTTTTAAAAATTGTTTTATGAAAATTGTGAGAGTTGTGTGATAATTGTGTGTGTGTGTTTGTGTGTGTTTGTGTGTGTGTGTGTGTGTTAAGAAACACTGGGATGGTGAGGGTATGATTAGGCTAATCATTGAGGACTGAGTTCAAGTAGACTTTTATCGTTCATTTGGGTTTGCCCTGAAGTCTGCCAAATAACTTCCAGATCAAAGGAAAAAAAATACTACAAACAGTCCCCCTTAGGGAAGGTACTTCTCTCTGTCCTGGGCTATTATCACTCAGAGGCGGACATTACCTGTTCTGTTTCCTCCTTTGGCCAAGGAGCCCCCAAGCCTTCCCTATGGAGAAGAAATATTGGGTTCAGTTATCAAAAGCTAGAAGAAACAGATCACAATGGATGCAAGAATCACCTTCTCCTCCTGGGCTGAGCAATATAAAGTAGAAGTTGTCTAGGGGAGGGGGCAGGAAGGAGAGCACAGGATTGATGTGTGAGCTTGATAGGGAATCCACTGTCTGAGGTAGGAAGTGGGGAGAGGAGAAAGCCTTAGAAATAGAGAAGGCCAAGGCCAAAGTCTGAGATTCCTCTCAATGGAGCTACCTCTGCTCTTTCCTCATTCCATTACTTTAGAATCCTTTCCTGCATAGCTGAATCCTAAGTGCTAAATACAGAGAGATCAGCAATTTTGTTGCTGGCAGGAATGTAGAGTCAAACATCATTAACTCCCATTGGCTTTTCTGTATCTTGCTTCCAAGCTTCATTTTCATGACACTGGGAATGTTGGGGTTGACAGAAGTCCCTTCACCGAAGTTTCTGCCAGGGTCTTTGCAGTTTTGTTAAGTGGGTTACCCATAATGCTTTGAAAGTTACCCAGGTGATACTATAAGCAAATTAGGAGAATAAGGAATAGTTTACCTGTCAGATCTATGCATAACAGAAGAATTTATGACCAAGCAAGAGATAGAGAACATTATGAAATACAAAATTGATAATTTTTCATTACATTAAATTAAAAAGTTTTTGCATGATCAAAGCCAACGCAACCAACATTAGAAGGGAAGCAGAAAGCTGGAAAACAATTTTTACAGCCAATGTCTCTGATAAACGCCCCATTTCTAAAATATATAGAGAACTGAATCAAATTTTTAAGAATACAAGTCATTCTCCAATTGATAAGTGGTCAAAGGATATGAATGGGCAGTTTTCAGATGAAGAAATTAAAGCTATCTGTAGTCATGTGAAAAAAAATGCTCTAAATCACTCTGATAGAGAAATGCAAATTAAAACAACTTGAGGTATCACCTCACACCTATCATACTGGCTAATATGACAAAACAGGAAAATGATAAATGTTGGAGAAGATGTGGGAAAACTGGGACACCGGTGCTTTGTTGGTGGAGTTGGGAAGTGATCCAACCATTCTGGAGAGTAATTTGGAGCTATGCCCAAAGGACTATAAAACTGTGCATACCCTTTGACCCAGTAATACCACTTCTAGGTCTGTATCCCAAAGAGATCATAAAAATGGGAAAAGGACCCACATGTACAAAAATATTTATAGTAGCTCTTTTTGTGGTGGCCAAGAGTTGGAAATTGAGGGGATGCCCATCAACTAGGGAGTGACTGAACAAATTGTGGTATATGAATGTAATGGAATACTATTATTGTGCCGTAAGAAGTGAGGAGCAGATGGACTTCAGAAAAAGCTGGAAAGACTTACATGAACTGATACTGAATGAAGTGAGCAGAACCAGGAGAACATTGTACATGGTAATAGTAACATTGGTCGATGACCAACTTTGATAGACTTAGCTTTTCTCAGCAATGCAAGGATCTAAGACAATCCCAAAAGACTCATGATGGAAAATGCTGTCCACATCCAGAAAAAAAACCAGAAACAAAAACTGTTGAGTCTGAATGCAGATCGAAACATACTATTTTGTCTCTCTCCCCTTTTTTTTTCATGATTTTTCCCTTTGGTTCTGATTCTAACAGCTAAGTGGCCTGCCACGTGGTTGAAAGGAGCATTTTCCCATCACTGGAATAATTGGAATTGTTGATATCTTTGAATTGGCTAAAGTCAGCAGTGGCCATGGCTTTTGCAGCATTTAGGACTCAGGGAACAAAGCGATTCCTCCACTGGTGGTTTATGGTGAGAAAAATGAGAGGGAAGGGAAGGGCTGAGGGGCCCACCCCACAGATCACATCACCTCCAAGAAAACATCCTGGGACCTTGGCCTTTTTCTTGTTTGTTTTTCTGTTCTGGGTGCAGGAAGTATGGCCTCTCATCTAGGCTGCCTGTGTAAGCCTTGGGGATCTTGAAACACTTAGTACCATTCCTAGTATGTATAAATGTTTATTGATGGATTGACTGATTGGAAGTCTGGGAATCCAGGCCAGGTATTGCAGCTGGCCTGGTAGCAACCCTCTGCAGAAACAAGGATTTGGGATGCTAGCCCAGCAGAATCTGGCAGCGAGGCTGACTTGGTGAGACCTGTGGTTTTTATATAGGAATTGAGCGAAATTATAAGCCTAATCCGCTATGCGGGGAGACTGAGACAGTATAGGGAGGATTTTGTTCCAGAGGTGTTGAGGGAAATGTTTGTATGCTTGCTCTTATTGTATCTATGAAGGATATTTACTCTTCATAAAAGCCTATCAATATTAAACAGTTAAATGGAACCCAGGTTCCAGTCACTGGGCCCTAAAACACAGCTGATGGGGGCTTGAGCCGATATAGCGGGAAAGAAAACCCCAACGGCCTCAGAACACTTGAGAACCCTGAGGGAGGGAGTTGTAACAGGCCTGGCCCTGAGGGAGTGGGACCATAGTCACTATGTCCCATAACTGTTTCCTTCCTGACTGACTGCAAACCTTCTCACCTCTTCCCTCTCTTAAAAACAAAACAAAACAAAGCCCTTCCCTTGTCCCTGCCATCACCTCCAATTAATGTTTTGTATCATCTGTCTCTTCTCTCCCTCACTCCTAGAGGCAAATTGACATAGTAAATGATGTGCTGGATTTGGAATCAGGAAGATCTGGTTTCAGATCCCACTTCTAAGTCTGCTATGTGGGTGAGGATGAGGAAATCACTCAATCTTTTTGAACCTCAAGCACCTAAGACTGTAAGTTATGACATAGGTCTATCTATGCTGGTGAAAAGAATTTGAGCACTGATTAAATTACGGATACTTGATCTAGACCTCTCTTTTGCCCATCTCACTTTGTACCTTGTATGATACTTGTGTGTGTATGTGTGATGCCACCCCTTTCCATTAGATGGTAAACTTTTTAGACAATAGTTTTCCATCTCTGAGAAATGATAGACACCTAATAATTTTTTGCTTGAAGCTGAAAACCTCCAGCTCCCCCATAGTTCATGGCTATCCTGGAGGGAAGCTTCCTATGGTGGTCCCATGGTATAGTGGATAGATCGCTGTACTTGAAATCAAGGGACTG